ATTCCGCTACCGTGGATATACGCAGGGCAGAGAAGATCCATGCGGCATCTAAATAACTTAGGACATTCTGGGCATGTGAAACGCGTGTGTCGTATGATTCGCCGCTCTCATTGCGATGATTTCGCAAATGGTCGGTCAGAGAAATACGCAATGCAGAAGTTCGCTCGCAATGGGGACAGGTTGGGATTGAGACTGTATTGCTTGTGTCGCGTCGCAGGTAGCGATGGTGTGACAATGCGTCGGGAGTGTGTTTATTGGAGTTAACAGTGACGGTCATGGTTGTCGTCACTGTCCCGATGGGATTGTGGAAGTGGTGGCGGCAGCGATCGCAGATGCGGTTTCTGAGGGAGGACGAGAATTTTCCGCATTGAAAATACACCGGGTCCTGAGATGTACTCCGATGCCGATCAGTGCGCGGAACCTCCTCCTCTTCCTTCTTTGGTTTGCAGAGTCTGTTCAGGCTTTCGCCCCATACAGCAACGCTGTCAGATTAACAGCCTTGCCACCCTGAGTGTTCTTTCGAATTGGGGCTATAAGCTGCAGCGTATCCTGCCCGGGCCGTCAGGACATCCTGCCACAAACGCATGACAAGCGAACAATCAAGGTCATGACCCCTGTTCACACCTTCTTTGTGCTGATTGGCCACCCATCAGCCTATGACAGTCCCCCTTGCCATCTACCCGGCCGTTTCCCTTAACCTCCTCACTTGTGCTGTCTCTTGTTCTCAGTACACGTCCTATTTCCAATTACCCTTCTGTTTTGCATACATAACATAAGCGGTTACAGACACCATCCTAGAGCCAGTCGAGGGTTTAGTTGACTTTTGACATTTGACTTGCAACTTCATTACCAGTCTTGGTATTCTTTAAAATTTTACTCCCAAGGCATGCGAAACCGCCCACTGTTGCAAGTTGAATGCCATAAACATTGATGCAGGGTTAAATGTATTCAGAATTTGGCACCGGCCGGTGCGTAACCATATTCTTCTGTGTTGATGATACTTTGAAGTTCGCGCAGCCGACAGAGAGGAGGCCCGTGCATCCCTGCATGCCTGCTTCCACCGTGGTGTTGAGCGCGCAGTCATCGGCGAAGAGCAGATCGTGCATGCCGGTCTTGGAGACTTATATAGTCGAATGTTTAATAAATGTGGCCAAAGGGCAGCCAAAGTTAATGACTTTGGTTTACGTTTATTCCCTTGTTCAAAGGAGACCGACAGCGTCCAATAGGTGCTATAAAAAACCTATTCTATTCAAAACAGTCATTTTTCTGTCCGGTAGTCGATTTTCATGTATGAGCCTTCCTCGCTTGGAGCGTTCACCGGCACGGCACAGATACTGTGCTGAAAGGGCGCGGCAAACATACAGCCCTGCATTACCTCACTTATTACTGCAAATTCTTCTGAGGCTGTTCCGTCGTCCGTGACGCGAGCCAACATTCTGTAGTGTAGTTGCAACAGTTTATACAGAGTGTTTCGGATATCCCCACTATGCATTAATTTTCACAGCCCAGTGCAGGTGATCGCATTGAAAATCTTCCTCAGATTGACGAGGCCTATGTAAAAGTCGGTTCGCATTTCCTGGCACTCTGCCTACAGTCAGTGGGCCACCAATATCATGTTGGAGGTCCCGTGGTGTTTTCTTAATCCACACTGGGTTTCTGGGACTATAGTCTGTTCCATTTGCACGTTCAGGCGATTGAGGAATGCTAGTGCAAGACTCTTTTTTCGGTTGTGCGGAGAGAGTTACCTCTGTGATTATCACAGAGCAATCAGATCTCCTTGCACTTTCTGATGTGGATGACGGCCGAAACTTTGAAATCCTGATGGGCCTGTCCTTGCCGAAATATACCCTAGAAGATCGCATTAAGTTTGTGCATCATCCGAGGACCGATGTACTTGTAGACTTCGACCAGCATTGCATCGTTTCTTGACGCTTTGCAGCTGATGGCTCCTTACAGCGAGGGAGAGCGGTCAAATATGACGTTGGGCTTCTCTTGACGGAAACTGCTAATAGTTTTGCCCGAGTTTTTGAATGTCCGGTTGAGAACGCTTCTGAAATACCTGGCTCAGCTATTCAGGATTTCCGATTTCCCCGTCAG